TCTTTAACAGCCAGTCACATTTTTAAATGGTGCATGTCCCCAGAGCTATTTGAGCTCACTGAAGCGTGAACTTTTTTTCTTGCATCACTCATGCAGGCATTAACACCTCTGAGTCAAACTGAAAATTAGAGACTCAGGGAAATGTAACACTTCAAAGATGGAGATGCACTTTAAACCCCACGTGTACTGAAGGGCAGCCATGAGGGGTTTAAAGCTGTGGGCAAAAAACAAGATAAAAATGCTTCAAACGGAGAGGAGACAGCAATTTAAGTTGTTAAATTGTTCATTGGAGCCATATTCTGCTCATTTTAAGGTTTCATATTTGTAGTTTGACATGTCTCCATGCTTTAATGTTCAAAAAGCTCTTTGTTTTTCTCATACTGCCTGTGCTGCAGCACCTCTTTTCACCCTCTGTCTGAAACCAGAGCCCAGTCAGCTCTGATTGGTCAGCTGGCCGGCTCTGTTGTGATTGGTTAACCTCTTAGAGATGTCCCCCCCTTAGTCTATCACTTACAATAGGCGCTTTCACACCGGAGTACTTCTCCCGATACAGTTCCAAAAATGTGCGTTCACACCAATGAGAACCTTTCCACCCCCTTTTCAGTCCCCGCTAGAGAGCAGGTACTTTCCTGGGAGAAAAAGGTTCCCATTTCTGATTGGCTGGGCGGATTGCAAACCACGGCCCGTAAAACTCCCAAAACATTTTGTGAAGCCGCCATTTTATTTGCTCGTATTAGCATTATTAGCATTAGCATTAGCCCAGCGCACCAACAGAGAGAGACTAACTTATGGCAACACAACAATTAGTTAATCAGAAGGCGCCTAATGTGTTGGAGCGCAAAGGGACAACCATCAAAGCCCCTTTTAAAAAGCCTCTATAATATTGTGAATATTTCTATTAAATATATCTTGTATCAGGCTTAATTTTGCCTTTGATTCTCATGGTTTGTCTTTTTGAGCAGGTCAGACACTCTGATGCTTATATCTCAGTATAACATTGAGGCTTTAATAAGAAATAATAGTAAGTGTTATGTAATTGGAGGTGCTCAAAAACATTCCCAAAAACATTCCATTAAAAATAAACACGAAAATCTGCATTCATAGTTTTGGGATCTATATTTCCTACTGAGGCAGAACTAACCGGATAGATAACAACTGCCTAATTAGTTCTATCAACTACAATTAAATATTTAAATATATAAAGTTTGTTTATTTTGAAAGTGGTCGGACTTTGTGTTCTGACAGTGATAAATGATCCAAGCAATTTGTTTACATTTGCATTTAGAGTGCAATTTTTTATTATCAACGACACGTCAATCTCAGTTTTCACATCCCTGGACAATATCCATCATTTTTCTAAACAATGTTAAAAATATTTACAATAACCACTTCCTCTCCCGAAAGGCACCTGCACATTTAATCACATGACGCTGGGGAGTTAAAGAAATTAATAAGATACGGTTATGCCCTTTAAAAAAAGAAGAAGAATCATATGGGCGTCTGAAGGGTCCAGATGGTATATTTTCAAAGCTGCCCTATGTGAATCCATCCTTAAATAATGAACAGGTGTTAAGATGAAGCTGAATTTTAATAGCTGCACCCGTCTCGTTTATTAAACTAGGTAGTGAAAATCTTCCCTATCATACACATAGTACATAATATGCATGAACTTTTTATCATATGGAGTTGAAGATATTTTACTTAAAGGTCCCATGTCATGCTTTTCTGGTTATTACCCGTCCCCTTGTGTGTTATGAAGGTTTTTATGTAAACGGTCTGCAGAGTCACAAACCCTCAAAGTACACCCTGTAGCGAGTACAACTCTAACACAGAGAAGACCTGTCTGTGCTGCCCCAGAACGCCTCGTTGGACATTTCTCTTTTTCCATTGTTTACTTCTTGGGTATAGTGACGTATTTCGGGTATAGTGAACGGCTATAAAAACGTAACGGCTCCGCGGACGTAACGTAACCCTGCGGACTTCCTCACACACACACACACACACACACACACACACACACACACACACACACACACACACACACACACACCACACACACACACACACACACACACACACACACACACACACACACACACACACACACACACGCACACGCACACGCACACACACACACATACCATGTATAGCCTACATCACTTCAGGGGACATTACATTGACTTACATGCATTTCCTGGAGACTCATCCTAACCTTAACCATAACCAACACATGCCTAACCCTTACCCGAACCCTAATCCTAAACCTAACCAAGTCTTCACCCTAAAATTAATGATTCCCCTCATGGGGACCTCCAATTTGTCCCCATAAGGGAAGCCAGTCCCCACACGTGACTATGTAAACATATTTAGGTCCCCACAAGTATAGTAATGCTATACCACACACACGCACGCACACACACACACACACACACACACACACACCGGCTCACTGGTGTGGGGTCGGCGAGACACCGGGGAACTCAGCCTGGGCACACACACAAACTCCCAGCCAGGCTGCGGGTGTGTGTGTGTGTGTTTGAGGCTGGGTTTTGCTGTGTCTCGCAGACGGCCTGGGCTCACAGGGGGGGGGGGGGGGGGCAGGCGCTCCAACAAGCCGTTTAGGACAGAGAGTGAATACACATAGGCCTATACAGAGATGCTGTATGAGAAACCAATGTGAGTTTGGAACATTGAACAATATAAATCTATTCTAGTAGACCTCAACAATGGAATTATGATCAGTGGAAATGGCCATGTCATGGGACCTTTAAAAAACTAAATTAACATGCTTTTTGTTTCCCTGGTTTAGCTATTTCGTTCACTTTCTTTCTGACTCCCTTTTTTGATGCTCTATCTCTACACATAAACTGAGGCACGTTGACATGCTGAGCTTATCCCGTTTGACATTTCCAGGTTAAGAGGACACTCGTGAAGTCTGACTAATGTGACCTGAGGGAGCAGAATGAAATGTTCTGTCTATTTGCCAACTTAGTCATCTGATAAATGACCATACCATTACCTTATAAAATGTCCTAAAGCGTTAGCAGCACACACTGATATATCTGCTGGATGTGTCTCACTCAATGTACTGACAGGTTTTCCACAGAGATGACCAGTGAAAAGCAAACTTCCTCCTCTGCTATGGCAGGAATGAGAAGAGCTTTACTTAAAGTCAGACTTGTTTAAGGGTTAGGAGTTATTTTCAAATGTTAAGTATCATGAGCAATATGTTTTCATATCCCTAACCAAAGGCACCATAATGTTCATTTGTGTAGCAAACATCAAATATTGAAACCAGTATGGGTCTCAAAAATGCAATATTCAATCTTCCAGAGCTGGAAAGGGTAAACTAGAATGCTGGCAGGACAGATCACTGCATGCTTCAGAGACATGCTGCTCTTCACATGAAAACAAAGCAAAGAGCCCTTACAATCCAGGCATGTGTTAAAGCTCTTTCAATATACTGATTGTGAAATGTCCTTGAGTCAAGGTCTTCCAAGAGGGCCGGACTTACACATCCATGAAATAGGTTATTATAGGACTGAATTGAAGAGAAAATAAAAGAGAAGATGACGGGAAAATATTGTATATCATCTCAGCATGACACTCAAATAAAGCAACCAAAGAAAACCGTCACATGACCTCTCCCTGACACACACTAACCTCCTGCTGCTTCCCTCTGCAGCTCATCGCCTCCATATGAAATCTTTTAGTCCTAATTTGCTTCTTTTACACGCACTGAGCAATTTGGCTGTCGGTCACATTTGCATTTGGGTTTACGTCTAATTTGGGTCAATCTGTCAACACCAAACCCAGGTACAGCACAAATAAATAACCCCTTAAATAAATACCATGTATAAACCAAATCACCGACTTTCTGTTGCTCTTCACAGAGTCATTCATCTGAAATTAAGTGCAAATAGCCTTTGCGAGAGAAATAAAAGGTTATTTCTAATGCATCTAATCTTTATTTGCTGTTGAGTGATAACGGAAGGACCAGAATGTCAACAACAGCCAAGTGGCTTTCTGCAAAAACACATCACGCACAATGGCTCAGATTGGTGGGAGAGAATCGTACAGAAGGGAGTTTGAGGTTTTGCAGTGTTTTTGACAATGTCGCAGTATGTGTCAAAGTACTACATGGAGCAATTTTAAACTAACTTTGTGAGCAGGTCAAAAATAAATCAAGTCTCTAGTGGCGCGTTTCCACTGCAGCGGGTAGCTCGCTTTAAGCGTGCCGAGCCGTGCGGGGGCCCGTTTTTGGTTGCGTTTCCACTTGGCCTAGTTTTGGCCCGGGGCTACTTTTTCACCTTTTTTCTGGCCCGACTAAATCGTGGTTCTAGGGCCAGGAACAACCAGGCTGAGTCGGGCTGAGTATGCTAAACTAGAGAGAGAATCGCTGACAAGGGGGCTACAACTACAACAACATGAACATATTTGACCGTGATTTAATTGTAATACACGTTTCAAAATGATGCCGAAGTAACAACATACTGATACCGGTTAGTAAAACCATGAATTAATGCTTTGACAAGTCTGCAGACAGACGGCAGGCGAAAAACCCTTTTAAAATGCGTGCTTTCTAAATGGAGCTTGGCTAAGCTAACGCAGTATATGCTCCGACCGTCTTCACTCACAACAACGGCCTATACAGACATAAATAAACCAGCGACTGTATTCTCCATGACACAGGCAGTCTGTGGTTTGTACTTGTTTAACTTTTGTCTAGTTTCTGAACAGATATGAAGAGCTGTGAGCTCTGAGTGCTAAGAGCTAACGGCTGATGTTGTTTTTTGGGGCGCTCATTGAAGATGACGTCACGGCTCCGCCTACACTGCGTTACTATAGTAACTGTCCCAGTTCCTAAACTGTAATGGAAGCGCAGCATTAAAGTGAGCCGGGCCTAATAAGGCCTAACCAAACCGAGCGAGGCCGAGCTAGGCCTGCAGTGGAAACGCGCCATAAGTGGCTGTGACCCATTATGTCATTTCTATCTCCAGGTAACCTCTCCAAAACCTGCACAGCAGATGGCTGGACTGAAATGCATCCTATTGACATCGCCATGAACTGTGGATACAATCTCAACAGCACCAGCGACGATGTGAGTAAAAACACTGCAGCCTATAAGACGCCTCAGTAAAGATATAGTTGTATCATTGTGAATGAACCGCGCAGCACAGCGGAAAATCACCTCAAGACCCAGTGGGCAGGAGGAAGAATTGAATTAGAAAACATCCTTTCTTTTCTCTGCAGGCTTGATTTTTTTTTGGCGATTTCTTCAATCTGACTTCATATTGACCATTTTTAACAACATAGGGTGCTACATAACACACTTTCAGGAAAAGTCACGGACTGGGAGACTTTAATATTTTATTGAAAAAAAGTTACATATAAACACAGCTCTGGGTCAAATTGACCCGATTGGCGGTTCTAGTGGTTGTAAAGTGTTGTTGTGCCGCAGAGGTGGTTAGCTTAGCCTAGCCTGGCACACACATTGAGGTAGAGGGAAACATTAGTTCTGCATCTGTTTCAAGCTCAAAAATAAGTTAACCAGCAACTGTTAAGCTCACTATTTAACACAATAAACATGGCATGCTAAAGAATTTGAACTGTAGTCAATGATTATGTTTAACTTTTGAGACAGCCTGCTTCCTGTCTAGCTTAGTCTAGCTAAAATAAGTGTGCTCTGTTTTAAGGGGCAAAACAAGCTGTCAACACAACATTCATAAATGATCACTTTGTTTAGTATGGTATTTTTCAGTTTTGTTTTCTGGCAACCAGATGAATAAAAGTCCAATATTCACTCTCCACACACCAACTCCTGAGGGGAGTCTCTTTAGTAGCTAAATGCTCCTCTGTGATCAGCAATTAGTCGCCAACTGTTGTGGTGCTGCGAGTGACTCATTCCAGCTTTTTTCCTAGTTTAATTACAAATAACATTTTATTTAAGCCACTTAAACTCACAGAAAAGAGTGGTATTGAACTTGGGGCAACACATGTTGAACTATTCCTTTTACACTTGAACATTTAATGACTTAAAAAGCGAAAATATTCTCAAATGAATAAACCAAGAATTCATTTTTGCTGAGGCATGAAGCAAAACACACTTTTTTTATTAACAATGGCAGATCCGTTCATAATTCCTGCCTCAGTTATCAGCATTGCAAGTCATTAGGGGTTATTCATACTGACTTCAGGGCTAGAAATGAAATACATACATCAAATATGTTTCATTTGAATGTGGAGTTTACTAATGTGGGTTAGCTGGAGCAGGGTGGAAAATGGATGTGCGCTGCAGGGTGGTAAAAGCTTTCTTGTTGGGCACTCTGCTCTCTGAGACTCATTAAATGCCACATAGGAAGTCAGGAGGGACCCGGCTGGTGGAATACACTAAAAGGAATTCGATGTTGGCCTTTCTGCATACTTTATATCTCAGTATGCAGAGTTTTTAATCTTATTTTCACCCAGCATTTAACATACAGTGCAATGGCAGCGACATTGTGAAGATATTCTGAAAAAAGGCTCCATATGTGGTGAAGTAAGATGAATGAATCTAGTTTTGCTGATTGTTTTTATTCTTTGTTTAAAATGTCTTTGGAGTCAGAAATTGGCTTTCTTTCAGACGATAACAAGGTTTTTTTATTACATGTATAGATTGAGAATTTATGAGTTGTTGTAAGAAGCTGAAAAATATCAGAAAAGTCCGAAAAATAAACACATTTTATCAGCTTAAAAAATCTCACTTCAACGTTCACTTACTCACAAAATCTAATTGAACTATCAAAGTAAAGTTTAGTTCTGTTAGTCGAGGTGGAGATCGTTCTTTTCATATGATAAGGTCGTTTATTTACACATTAGACAATACAAACTCTTTAGTTTCGGTTTCCTTCACTGTGAAATGTTTTCTTTTCTTCAGGGCAAGTTTTTCTGGCAAGTGAAGATCGGCTACACCATCGGCCACAGTGTTTCCCTCATATCTCTGACCGCAGCTATTGTGATCCTCTGCATCTTCAGGTACGTAGAAACACAGTCACATATAATCATCTTAAAGAGCTCGATAGCACTTTCCTCATCGGGAACAATCATAATTCTCAATTTATGCAGAGAAAGTTACACAAAAACACAGTTTTCACTCTTGAAAGCAGTTCAAGAAATGTTATCTTTTTCAAATCTCTGTTGTTTCCCTGCTTTGTTGTTTCTAAGAAGGACAAAAACCGTCACCGCTGCAAGACCCCGAGACTCGGCATTAGCATGAGTCATTTCCCATAAAGCACGGTGACATTGACAGTATGTCTGCCGGCACATTGACAAGATGACAGCTTATACATTTCAGTGTCGCACATCAAACACTGAGAACTGGGATGTGATCATATCTGATCAGTGCAGCTTTAGGGCTTATGTTAAACTGTAAAAGACAAGAAGGAAGAGGCGAACACTTTCAAACCTGATGATCCTTTCATGCATTTCGTACATCACGGATCTGTTGATTGCACGTGTCTGCAGATTGACATTTAGTGGGATTAAGGAGACTGATGTTTGATATGTGACAATTCATAAGATCCTCAACCAAAGTCACAGTTTTGATGTTGACTCACAGCTTCAGACAGCAGTTCATGTGCATGACTTAATAAAGTTATCTTTATTTAATGACGTTTTTAAACCTCCGTTGTAAACTTTTAAGACCTTTTATTGTCTTGGATTGTGTACATCTGTGCACTTTTCCCACATTTTGAAAATCGCTACAGATAAACTATGTGTAAAGTAATGATTCCTTCTACAAAAGTCCTCCTTTGCACTCACGTAATCTCCTTGAATTCGAGGCCAAAGTAATGTAATGCAACAACTTCCATCCTACCGTCCATTCTCCCCTGTATACCCAGCTCCACAGGGAGGGTAGGAAACAGGAAATTGCTTCTGCGGTAGCATTTGCATTCACGGGTCTTGTTCTGCGACTGTGTGAGTCACAGATCAGAGCTCCTTTCCATGTTCTTCACAAAGGTGTGAATCGCCTGACAAGAGTTTTATTTTCCACAAGCCACGCAAAGGTCAGGATCAAAAATAAATAAGAAAGTGTGAAATCAAGATGTAACGACAGGTTTGAAGCAGAAGGACAGTTGTGATCGGGCAGTGGGAGGTGAAGAGAACAGAGTGTGTGTTGGTGGGGACAGAGTGTGTGTTGGAGGGAACAGAGTGTGTGTTGGGTGTGTTGGTGGGGACAGAGTGTGTGTTGGAGGGAACAGAGTGTGTGTTGGTGGGGACAGAGTGTGTGTTGGTGGGGACAGAGTGTGTGTTGGGTGTGTTGGTGGGGACTGAGTGTGTGTTGGTGGGGACAGAGTGTGTGTTGGTGGGAACAGAGTGTGTGTTGGTGGGGACTGAGTGTGTGTTGGTGGGGACAGAGTGTGTGTTGGTGGGGACTGAGTGTGTGTTGGTGGGAACAGAGTGTGTGTTGGTGGGGACTGAGTGTGTGTTGGTGGGAACAGAGTGTGTGTTGGGTGTGTTGGTGGGGACAGAGTGTGTGTTGGGTATGTTGGTGGGGACAGAGTGTGTGTTGGTGGGGACAGAGTGTGTGTTGGGTATGTTGGTGGGGACAGAGTGTGTTGGTGGGGACAGAGTGTGTGTTGGTGCGAACAGAGTGTGTGTTGGTGCGAACAGAGTGTGTGTTGGTGGGAACAGAGTGTGTGTTGAGTGTGTTGGTGGGGTCAGAGTGTGTGTTGGGTATGTTGGTGGGGACAGAGTGTGTGTTGGTGGGGACAGAGTGTGTGTTGGTGGGGACAGAGTGTGTGTTGGTGGGGACAGAGTGTGTGTTGGTGGGGACAGAGTGTGTGTTGGTGAGATGTGGAGAGTCACACCACAGATTACAGGCAGGGAGAATCACCATGACAGTTTCCCGAGCTCTTGAGGAAAAAGCTTTGGAGAGCAGACGTCTTCAACAACTTCCTGTCTTTGATTCGCGAGCTTCTGCATGCAATCTCTTTATTTCTGACAAGGAAGCATGTTATTGTGGGTTACTTCCTGTTTTCCTACACAAATCCTTTAGCCATTAGAAAAATATATTGTAACAAAGTTAAACAATTACTTTATTGAACAGGTTTGAAGCAGAAGGACAGTTGTGATCGGGCTGTGGGAGGTGAAGGGAACAGAGTGTGTGTTGGTGGGAACAGAGTGTGTGTTGGTGGGAACAGAGTGTGTGTTGGGTGTGTTGGTGGGGACATAGTGTGTGTTGGTGCGAACAGAGTGTGTGTTGGTGGGGACAGAGTGTGTGTTGGTGGGAACAGAGTGTGTGTTGGTGCGAACAGAGTGTGTGTTGGTGGGAACAGAGTGTGTGTTGGGTGTGTTGGTGGGGACAGAGTGTGTGTTGGTGGGAACAGAGTGTGTGTTGGTGCGAACAGAGTGTGTGTTGGTGGGAACAGAGTGTGTGTTGGGTGTGTTGGTGGGGACAGAGTGTGTGTTGGTGCGAACAGAGTGTGTGTTGGGTGTGTTGGTGGGGACAGAGTGTGTGTTGGGTGTGTTGGTGGGGACTGAGTGTGTGTTGGTGGGGACAGAGTGTGTGTTGGTGGGAACAGAGTGTGTGTTGGTGGGGACAGAGTGTGTGTTGGGTGTGTTGATGGGGACAGAGTGTGTGTTGGGTGTGTTGGTGGGGACAGAGTGTGTGTTGGTGGGAACAGAGTGTGTGTTGGTGGGGACTGAGTGTGTGTTGGTGGGGACTGAGTGTGTGTTGGTGGGGACTGAGTGTGTGTTGGTGGGAACAGAGTGTGTGTTGAGTGTGTTGGTGGGGTCAGAGTGTGTGTTGGGTATGTTGGTGGGGACAGAGTGTGTGTTGGTGGGGACAGAGTGTGTGTTGGTGGGGACAGAGTGTGTGTTGGTGGGGACAGAGTGTGTGTTGGTGGGGACAGAGTGTGTGTTGGTGAGATGTGGAGAGTCACACCACAGATTACAGGCAGGGAGAATCACCATGACAGTTTCCCGAGCTCTTGAGGAAAAAGCTTTGGAGAGCAGACGTCTTCAACAACTTCCTGTCTTTGATTCGCGAGCTTCTGCATGCAATCTCTTTATTTCTGACAAGGAAGCATGTTATTGTGGGTTACTTCCTGTTTTCCTACACAAATCCTTTAGCCATTAGAAAAATATATTGTAACAAAGTTAAACAATTACTTTATTGAACAGGTTTGAAGCAGAAGGACAGTTGTGATCGGGCTGTGGGAGGTGAAGGGAACAGAGTGTGTGTTGGTGGGAACAGAGTGTGTGTTGGTGGGAACAGAGTGTGTGTTGGGTGTGTTGGTGGGGACATAGTGTGTGTTGGTGCGAACAGAGTGTGTGTTGGTGGGGACAGAGTGTGTGTTGGTGGGAACAGAGTGTGTGTTGGTGCGAACAGAGTGTGTGTTGGTGGGAACAGAGTGTGTGTTGGGTGTGTTGGTGGGGGACAGAGTGTGTGTTGGTGGGAACAGAGTGTGTGTTGGTGCGAACAGAGTGTGTGTTGGTGGGAACAGAGTGTGTGTTGGGTGTGTTGGTGGGGACAGAGTGTGTGTTGGTGCGAACAGAGTGTGTGTTGGTGCGAACAGAGTGTGTGTTGGGTGTGTTGGTGGGGACAGAGTGTGTGTTGGGTGTGTTGGTGGGGACTGAGTGTGTGTTGGTGGGGACAGAGTGTGTGTTGGTGGGAACAGAGTGTGTGTTGGTGGGGACAGAGTGTGTGTTGGGTGTGTTGATGGGGACAGAGTGTGTGTTGGGTGTGTTGGTGGGGACAGAGTGTGTGTTGGTGGGAACAGAGTGTGTGATGGTGGGGACTGAGTGTGTGTTGGTGGGGACTGAGTGTGTGTTGGTGGGGACTGAGTGTGTGTTGGTGGGGACAGAGTGTGTTGGTGGGAACTGAGTGTGTGTTGGTGGGAACAGAGTGTGTGTTGGGTGTGTTGGTGGGGACAGAGTGTGTGTTGGTGGGGACAGAGTGTGTGTTGGTGGGAACAGAGTGTGTGTTGGTGGGGACAGAGTGTGTGTTGGTGGGGACTGAGTGTGTGTTGGTGGGGACTGAGTGTGTGTTGGTGGGGACAGAGTGTGTTGGTGGGAACTGAGTGTGTGTTGGTGGGAACAGAGTGTGTGTTGGGTGTGTTGGTGGGGACAGAGTGTGTGTTGGTGGGGACAGAGTGTGTGTTGGTGGGAACAGAGTGTGTGTTGGTGGGGACAGAGTGTGTGTTGGTGGGGACAGAGTGTGTGTTGGTGGGGACAGAGTGTGTGTTGGTGGGAACAGAGTGTGTGTTGGGTGTGTTGGTGGGGACAGAGTGTGTGTTGGTGGGGACAGAGTGTGTGTTGGTGAGATGTGGAGAGTCACACCACAGATTACAGGCAGGGAGAATCACCATGAAAGTTTCCCGAGCTCTTGAGGAAAAAGCTTTGGAGAGCAGACGTCTTCAACAACTTCCTGTCTTTGATTCGCTAGCTTCTGCATGTCTTTATTTCTGACAAGGAAGCATGTTATTGTGGGTTACTTCCTGTTTTCCTACACAAATCCTTTAACCATTAGAAAAATATATTGTAACAAAGTTAAACAATTACTTTATTGATTTAATTACAATTGAAAAATAATGTCTCTTTTTTTATGGAAAAGTATTAAAGATCTGTGGCCTGCGTAGTTATGGAGATGAAATGTCACCAACATAGACACAGATAATTACACGTGTCACGACTCTCTCAGGATGTGTCTGATCAGTTAGACTGCAGTTGCATTCAGGCTCAGTCTAAATATTTCGGAGGGAAGGGTTCACATTGACATTGCAGCGGCTGTTAAACAGCAGAGACAGAATGTTAACAAGCTCTCTGGGTTGTGTGATAAGGTTAGATAAAACTTTAATGACTCCTGGAGGGGGGGGGTTCTAAAGTGATGGTGCATGTGCTGCATCACAGCTGAGAACAAGCACAAACAAAGGATGTGAGCCAATGGCAGCCTCCACATAACTGCAGACATTTGCACCCATCTGTCGGTCTCTTTAGCACTTTAATCGTCTTTCAAAAAGGAAGATTACAAAGGTTTTTAATTAGTCATTTGTAAATACACTTCCCTTGTCTTTGAGGTGCGTGAAGGAGCATTAAAAACCAAAGCAGACCCAACCACACAGTGATAAAAGAAGCTAACGAGCTCAATTATTATTAGTCAGTCTTTGATTTGATGTCATTTAAAGCTATTAACTCCAAGGACATTGGATAATGAGCTTGAAGGGCTTCTTCTTATCGAATTGTGTTTGCCTTTGTCTGGTGATCTGTATTCTTGCACTGTGCATCTCAGGAAGCTCCACTGCACGAGGAACTACATCCACATGCATCTGTTCGTGTCGTTCATCCTGAAGGCCATCGCCGTCTTCATCAAGGACGTCGTCCTCTACGAGGTCGGCGAGGTGGACAACTGCTCCTCCTCGGGCTCCGTGAGTTCATCGCCGTTGTTTTTGTCGCTTCATGTGTTTGAGTTTTGGGGATTCTTGTTGTCCTTGATCCCAGGAGTCAATCCCCTAAAGTAAAAATGTCACAAGCTAATTATCCACATTAAACCACCATTATAAAGAGACCCTCAGTTCAAATGGGGATAAATAAAAAAATAGGCATGCCATACGGCCCGTCCACAAGGCGGCGTGCGTTGAAGCTTCAACGCTTCTGCCCATTCACTTTGAATGGGGTGACGTCACGCTTTGCCGAACTGCATTGTTGAGCAATGTTCAACTTTTTAAGCTTCGGCGGAAGCGTCAGCCAATCAAATCATATGCCAGTACAATCAAAGCGTGTGCTCGTGTGTCCGGGGCGGGAGATTAATGTGATTGGTTGTTGGTCGAGTTTCAGACAAGCTCACCGGCAAGCGGTAACGCTACCCCATTTGACACTCCATCGACCCCTCACTTCGAGACACTTGAACTCCCTTCACGTTGGTTACGTAACCTAAATTACATACATGTAGTAATTTGGCTTACATAAAGAAAGCTATGGTCAAATAATTAAACTTGAGAGGCACAAACCCCTCGTCTCCTGGATTAAAATCAGACTTTCAGTTTTAATCTGTCTCTCCCATCATATCTACTACGGCTGCTAGAGGCAAAACATAGCACCACAATGCTGATACATATGATAATGGCGTTTTAATAGGCCTGTTCTACTCAAAGCGTGTTCATTAAACAGTGGCAGAAGATGTTAAACACACAGGCTGCCAGGCTTACAAGCCATTTATGCTCAGAGTTACCCCCACAGTGTTTGGATGTCTTCCAGTCAGCGTCACCACCAGCAGACCCCTGAGACCCCCCCAGAACACAAGGTTTACGTTACATGATGCGGCCGCGCGACCAGAGGAGCCTCAGAGTGTGTTTAATAGCGGCTGGCTCCATTGTGTTGACACGAGCCAGCTGCTGTCGGATAAACATTATCGAGACAGTTTTCGTGCTGCGGCGCTCATCACGACCCCGACATAGGAACTGTGAAATTCATACAGAAGCAATTGTGGAGAAAATTCTTAAGAGAAACTGATAAATGATTCATGGACAAAGTTATATTTAATAAAGTAATAAAGAAAGTCAATATACAAGTGACATCGATCCCAATTGCAGGAACAGAGCTACTTCATCCTCAGAGGATAAAGAAGACAGTCACACTATATAGTAGAGAGAAAAGCCACCTGGTCCCACCCTTAAAATCCCTTAGGCATCATCTAAACATCCCCACCATTAAACCATAAAACCCCCTTGTCCTTAACCTTTCACACTACCTGTTGCCTTCCTGAACATTAACATGTGTCTCTGTTGAACACATACAAGACTAAAAATACAATTTAAAAGCCAATCAGAGTAAGACTATATGTTTTAAATGATTATATGATAATTTTACATTATCGACAAACAATATAAGATATTTTCAAATAGATTAATCATAATGCATATATTGCGTGCGTGCGTGCTGCTGGATGCTTACCGTAGTGTTACATCAGATTAATTCATGATATAAACGCCGTGGGCAGGCGTATAACGAAGGTGCAGTGTGTGTGGCAGCCTTCCTCCACATGCCGTCGAAGGAAGGCTTTATGTACTGGTGTGCACGCATTAAAAATAGCATATAGGTAGAGACAGCACATATTCCTCCCCCATGAATTCATGAAGACTACCGAATACCTGCTTTAATGAGACCTCCATATGGAGCTCCCAGAAAAACACAGAGGGCTGAATGTATTATTTATATGTGTAAATTCCACCAGTTTTGTATTGATTCAACAAGTCCACCCATCAGACATTTATGAGAGGTGCATTTATTCATGCGGGGGGGAAGTTTACACTAAGAGCCTACTCTCATTAATAATAACAGTAGGAGAAGAAGAAGTTCTGACAGGTGGCGTGACAATATTACTCTATTTTGGTCATTTCAGTTTTTCAGCTGAATGATTCCGCTGAGTCGATTGAAGGTAATTAAAGACACCTGTTGGCTCCTAATTAAGAGTAGCTCGTGGCCAATCAGAGTGTGGCTAAATTCAGCAGAACCTGTAGGACAGTAGTTCCTGTTTTTAGACGCTTTTTGAGGCGTCTTTTGCTTTTTCTGATGAACTAACTGCATCAGGAGAGGTATTTGTGTAAATTGTGTTAAATGTTAAAACCGTTATGTATATGTATTCTTAGCATTACTTAATTTGTAAAAAGAAAAATCTTTATTATACAAAAATGTAGCACTGTCCCTGTGAAAGAATACACTTAATAATAATAATATTTGCAAGTTCTGTATTCAAACTTTGACTTGAATCCAGTGAGATAAGTAGGGAGAGCATTATATACTTCATTACCTCCAAAAAGACAGTTGTTAATTTCGATATTTGATGTGTTTTTTATACTACTAGATTGTTTAATTGTATAATAAATTGAATCATTCTCTGCAAAGTATACCAAATGAATGTAATGGAGTTGAAAGTAGTATCTTTCCTTTTGAAATGTAGTATAGTAGCACACAATATTCAAGTTAACCCTCCTATTGTGTTCGTTTCCCCCCTTACTTTGGTGTTCGCGGTCAAATTTGACCGGTCCTGTTTTAACTGCCAAAAACCATTAATCATCACCACATGTCATTTAACACCCTTTCAAACTGTACATATTGTCTCAGACTACTGGTATACATGAAGAACTGCAGTAAATGTACAAAGAACAGACACTGGACATGTATTGCGTGTGCCAGGTGTGAACCATGTGAGGGGAGGGGCACATAAGAGCGGGAAATATGTCAAATTGTTGTGTGTGTGTTTGTGTGTGCCAGGTGTGATTCACATGGGGGTTTGGGCACATAAGGGGGGGCACAGCTAGTGTGTGTGTGTGTGTGTGTGTGTGTGTGTGTGTGGCCTAGCATTACTATACTTGTGGGGACCTACATCTGTTTACACAGTCACGTGTGGGGACTCGCCTCCCTTATGGGGACAAAATGGAGATCCCCATGAGAGGTATCATTAATTTTAGGGTGAAGACTTGGTTAGGGTTAGGCATGTGTTGGTTATGGTTAAGGTTAGAATAAGTCTCCAGGAAATGCATGTAAGTCAATGTAATGTCCCCTGAAGTGATGTTTACATGGTGTGTGTGTGTGTGTGTGTGTGTGTGTGTGTGTTTTATCTGATCCGGATGGTTACTAATTCCTTTTCTTTATGGAGGTCATGTTTGACCGGGAACACCATGGTGTTACAAAGTTGACTAAATCATCCAAAGTCAATGAAAGTGGTGATCAGCAATTTAATATGTTCAAATGTCTACTGTGAAGGATATCATAAAGCCTTAATGCAATCGAATGTAAAACAAAAAAGTTATGATTGATGAAACTAGTAAATGGGTCAGATTTGACCCGAAGACAACAGGAGGGGTAAGTATACACATGATAGTAACGTTTTTAAGTCAATGTAGTCAATGTTAACCCATACCCATAAAACAACAATTCAACAGTAAAAAGCTCCATTTATTGTCAAATTTGGAAACAAATGACACACAGTATCATCATAGGAAACTCTTCTCAGTTATTTTCCAAAGCTTGATTGTTTTTATTTGTCCTTGCTCTGCTCTAACGTCAGTGGGTTGTTTCAGCTGTTGCCTTATTCATATCCACTCGGGTCCTTTCCCATATTTGCGTCATCTTTATTTCTCTGCTATCTACATTTCCATATACATTCACTCCTTCCCTAATCTGTCCCTGTCCTTTTCACCCTTCTCCCAATTCCCCCCGTGTCTCCCTCACCTCTCACTGCATCTGTTAAAGTGTTCACTGTCGCAGGGTCGTGCTGAAATGGGCTCAGTATGGATTGTCTCTCTCTGAGATCTCCGAACAGCCTGTGCGTTGCAGCGAGTATCAGATCAGCCCACACCATTAGGGAAATAACCTTTTATCCGCATCCTTGTGTAACTAGTTCAATAACGCGGCCTTCAGCTTCAGGCTCGCCCGTCCTGATGAAGTCTTTTAGCTTCTGAGCCGTCAGCCAACCAGAAGAGAGCGGATGTGTTATCCTGCATGGCTGTTCCTACTGTCCCTCTGCCCACTGACATATCTGATGGGTTTCTGCACTGTGCCAGCCTTTTCCTATTTATTTATTTACAGCCTTCAAGCGCAAAATATGTTACATAAAACACAGCTTGATGAACAAATTCTGTACTATTAAATGGTACCACTTTATATAAGGTAATGGATATACTGTACATTACATTAATAATACTTTAAAGATGAGTTGTTAGTTATTATTAAGAGGATCCTTTAATCTAGAGGAGGAGAAATTGAATTGTTCTGACTTTGAGAAAAAGACAAATCAAGTGTTTGGCTGCAGGAGAGTAAACAACAGTCTACTGAGTGACATCCAATTCCTCATTATGCTTCATTAAAATATCACTTAGGATAAACACCCATTATGAAACATATTTTTAAGCTGCGAACAGACCATACAGCGACTACTTGTGCTGCAGAATAATCACCTCACTATCCATGAGGATAGCCATTATTTCTGACGGCTCATGGATGGATTTTCTTTGAATCACATTTAATTGAACGCTCAGAGGCGTGTCGGGTAACTTCTCAGCGTGATGTGTCCTTTTGTGATAGAACAAATAGAAAAGCTGGTGCAAAACAGTTATCGTCCTATTTCGAGGTAAATAAAGGCAGCATGTACCCAAAGAAAAACCCATACGTGCATTCTCCTGTATTTCAAAGATGCAATTATGCCGCTATTTGGAATGAATCTATTCTGTATTATCAATATCACTGTTCAATCTTTATCCATGTGGAAAATCCTTGTGCTTTTCCGTCCTTTCCCAGGTCGGCTGCAAAGTGGTGATTGTGTTCTTCCAGTACTGCATAATGGCCAGCTTCTTCTGGCTGCTGGTGGAAGGTCTCTATCTGCACGCTTTGTTGGCCGTCTCTTTCTTCTCCGAGAGGAAATACTTCTGGGCTTACATCCTGATCGGCTGGGGTGAGGACGCCTTCCTCATATGCCTTCAATACGTCTGTCCCCCTGAGACACTGTTAAATCTTTCTTTTATGTCCCTAGGAGGGCCGATGGTCTTCATCACAGCGTGGAGCGTCCTCAAAGCCTACTTTAACGACGTTGGGTAAGAGAAACACATCTGAGACGGCTCAGGAATTAATATTGCTTTATGCTTGCAAATTGTTCTATAGCATACTCATATTTATTCGTATTTTTCATCTAACGTATCAATAATCGTCCCTTTTGTTTAATATGTACTGTCTCTATTATACTGTGTTTATTAATACAAGCTCTATAGTGAGTTTCATTTCTTAACCACTGTTTATACCCATAAATACTGTTCATACTGTAGCTTTTTTATATCTGTCATGTTATATACTTATGCTATTAAACTGCATTTTACTGGTTCTTTTGCACTTTCTGCTTAGAAGCTAACTGCATGTTCCTGTCTCAGAGTTTGCATTTTGTGCAATGACATTAATAAAGTCATTTAATGTCATCTGATCAGGTGCTGGGATATAATCGAGAACACTGATGTCTTCTGGTGGATCATTAAAACCCCAATTTTGGCGTCAATCTTGGTGAGTTCACAAGCTTTGAGCAAATGTATTTTTAAACGTACTTGAGCTGTTGACACTGTCACAGTATAACTAATTGCCACTGAGAGAGCAAACTCATTTATCAGTTTTTATCTCAGACTTACCTGGCAGTGTAATTATTCTTATTCTCATTTATATTCCTTCTGCGAGTCGAAGTCCATTTTAGTAACGTGTTGAGAGTTTGGTGTCGTGTCTCAAATTTATCATTTCCCTTTGGACGGTTGACTCAGGATCAATCAGCAGACATTTCTCAGCGTCTTCATTAGCATCTACAGAAACATATTTGAAATAGAGGTTGAAAAGAGGAATGTTTTTAATGAACATGGTGGAAATAAAGTGTGACATTAAATTAACAAACCAAACCTAGATTTAGATTCAAAGCTACATGAAATACCTATTTTGGATAAATCAAATTGCATCGAAAAACCTCCAAAGCTCACTATTTAACATGTTATATGTCATTTATTCAGAGATATACATTAAGGGTTGTTAATGATTCTTTTTGTATTACTTTAGGACAGAACCAGGTTAGCCGCAAGCCCCTAT